ATATTGCAACATCGTTCATGAATGAGGTCAGTTCACTTGGACATTGTACAGCAGTGAGACATCGCACATTCAAGCCTGCTCGTCTGCTGTAAAGTACTGCTGTGAAGTACTGCTGTACAGCAGTACAATGTGTTCCTGCTGTGTGTGACATGCACTGGTGAGTCAAACATGTACCGAACGGCACACGCTCGCACCCAACATACGTAAGACGAAAACACACACCACACATGAGCATACTGCTGTTGTAAACAGCAGCAAAAACAGGGTGTACCGCACATATTTCGGAGTGTAGATTCAAACACAGACAACCGTTACCCCTCTTTGATAAGATGAAAATAAAAACAAGGTATCGGCCTGCTGCTGTGCCGCACCATCCAACCTTCACTGCTGTGTACTGACCTGCAACACCACCTCGTTCTCNAAGTTGTAAACAGCAGCAAAAACTGGGTGTGCCGCACATATTTCGGAGTGTAGATTCAAACACAGACAACCGTTACCCCTCTTTGATTAAGATGAAAATTAAAACAAGGTATCGGCCTGCTGCTGCTGTGCCGCACCATCCAACCTTCACTGCTGTGTACTGACCTGCAACACCACCTCGTTCCCAGAGCGACCTTCCTTGCGGAGGTCGAAGAGTAGCATGAGGACCATCCTTGACTGCAACTGGGTCCAGACCTCGCCCTTCTTCGGCTTCACCTCGTGCACAGATGTGTCCATGTAGTCCAGGTCCTGAGCCACCTTCTCCGCCGCCGCAGCAGCTGCCGCTTCGACGCGCTCAACCTCTTCCTGCTCGTCGCTTTTCCCGCTGGGCAGCGGCGCGCGCCGCTGCCTCCTCCTTCTTGGCGAACGCCGTCTCCTTCGCTCTAAGCGCTTGCTCCTTCGCTCTGAGCGCTTGCTCTCTCTGCGCCATCTCCGACGCGAGCGCTGCACGCTCCTGCTCAAGCTTAGCGCTGCGTCTGTCCAGGGTCAACGCATCTCTCGCCGCTGCCGTCTTGGCTCTCTTTCTCGCCTTCGTCTCGTGTCCACCGACACCGCCGGTGGGCTTGTTCCTGCCCTTCGGTTTTGTCATCGGCCGAAAGCTTGGAGGCCCCTCTTCCGGCGTGCGGTACCCGACAACGGCTGGGTTGTTTCAAAAGCTGGTCTTATCGTCCCGCGCGCCAATGTCGTGCAATAAGTCAACCCTAGTTTTGGTCGGTGTAAGAAGACTTGGGGTAGTTTAATCGCAGTATATATAATAAAGGCGTGATGGAAGGAAGGTCAAGAAAGAGTATGAGGTGGAGACTAGAATTGAGAAGGTGTTGNCCGACAACGGCTGGGTTGTTTCAAAAGCTGGTCTTATCGTCCCGCGCGCCAATGTCGTGCAATAAGTCAACCCTAGTTTTGGTCGGTGTAAGAAGACTTGGG